CTAACAACTTCCTTAACATGACAATTAATTTTGAACACGCTAAAAGTACACTTTCATAACCTTTTCAAATTGCTAAAGCAGGTTACTCATCACCAGACTTACTCCAAAGCTATTGCCAATGAATCGCAGGTTATTCGTCACAAGAGGGGGGATACAAAATGGACCAAAGGCATTGAAACCTCAACCTCTGATAAGTACTTTCAATAGCTCATTGCACCCAAACTTGAATGCCCACTGCCATAAAAAATAAGAACGACAATCCCAGTAAAACCCCACGAAAGTAGGGTTTGGAGAAGGTGATATGTATCCAAAACTCACCCCTACTTGGAAGTATGCCTATAAACTCTCAAACACATTATGTAATTTAGTAGGGTTTGTGGCAGAGTGAAATTACCACACTTGTTCTGTTGTGGCGGGATTCAGCAAGAGGCAGCGCAGTAGAGAGAGAGGATGATGAAATGAGGGAGTAGATGTGCACTTTTCATTGCTGAACCAGCACTTTGAGTGAACCATTAGGCATTATCAAACAGTTCAAAGTCTGATTTTTTTAAAATATTAAAACTACACTTTTTCTTTGAAGATTTGTCATTGGTGTTGTGTTCAAATGGTTTGTTTAGTCGAAAAATCTTCAAAGTATTAGCTTTGTTTGACTTGTCATAATGTAAAACAGGTTACATATTTGCAAGATCATCATATTCACTTGAATAAGATGTAAGGTAAGGAATATTAGCACCACAACCTCCTCTTATAATTGGGTCTCGGACTCTGGCTTGGCCCAACAACTAATGACTTCATTTTTAAAAATTTCAGGTTACTTCGGGTTCATACTACTTCATGTTCGGGTCAATGTGGGTTCAAGTAGAGAACTATATGTTCATCACCATTATCATTTGGTCTGGGTCGACCCAACGGGTTAAAACTTTGATTCTAAACAAAATGTTAAAAGTTATTCCATTCTGAGTGACCATTGTTCATGGTTAAGGACATTTTGGTGGCTAATTAATCTTAGTTTTAATTTGGCAGGGAATACATCCCAGGGGCGTGTTTGCAGCCTTGACAGTGTTAGAACATCTATTGCCCAGTAAGCCAGGGTTTTTGGGTTTTGAAAAACAAAAGGTGTGTTCTTTAATATTATTTTTTTGCTTTTTAAAAAGTGGACTCTTCATTTGACTCATTAGCGAACAGTTCAAAGTCTGATTTTTTTTAAAATATTAAAACTACACTTTTTCTTTGAAGATTTGCCATTGGTGTTGTGTTCAAATGGTTTGTTTAGTTGAATATTTGCAAGATCATCACATCATATTCACTTGTATAAGACGTAAGGTAAGGAATATTAACACCACAGCCTCCTCTTATAATTGGGTCTCGGACTCTGGGTTGGCCCAAAAACTGATGACTTCATTTTTTAAAATTTCAGGTTACTTCGGGTTCATACTACTTCATGTTCGGGTCAATGTGGGTTCTAGTAGAGAACTATATGTTCATCACCATTATCATTCGGTTTGGGTCGACCCAACGGGTTAAAACTTTGATTTTAAACAAAATTTAAGTTCATAATAACACTTGCATTTTTCTTTAAGTAAAATTAAAATATCAAAAAAATGTACTATATCTATTATATTATTTTATTTTAAACTATGAAATGAATTTACCTCTTAAATTATGAAATGATTTTACCTCTTATATATATATATATATATATATATATATATATATATATATATATATATATATAATGCTCTCTCCCTCTAGATTTCTCCTCGGCTAGGTTTCCGCCGACCGCCACTTGGGCTACAAAAACTTTGCACAAACATCCATAAAGGTTTGCTCAGTCCCTAGAGTTGGGTAAAAGGGTGACCGTTACTCACAGGTGTCTACTTCTCAGTCCTACCACATTACAGGTCTGTAACGAATCTAATAATCGCCATTTTGTATTATTTGATGTAATGGCTCTGAAAATCAAGAAAGGATTGAAGGGAACATTGCTTACAGATTCCAAGATATCACTTTCTTCAATGGGTCTATGGAACTAATGGCCGTCCCAAAAAAGTAAAAAGAAGCTTCATCCGCTAACAACTTCCTTAACATGACAATTAATTTTGAACACGCTAAAAGTACACTTACATAACCTTTTCAAATTGCTAAAGCAGGTCACTCGTCACCAGACTTACTCCAAAGCTATTGCCAATGAATCGCAGGTTATTTGTCACAAGAGTGGGGATACGAAATGGACCAAAGGCATTGAAACTTCAACCTCTGATATGTACTTTCAATATCTCATTGCACCCAAACTTGAATGCCCACTGCCATAAAAAAGAACGACAATCCCAGTAAAACCCCACAAAAGTAGGGTTTGGAGAGGGTGATATGTATCCAAAACTCACCCCTACTTGGAAGTATGCCTAAAAACTCTCAAACACATTATGTAATTTAGTAGGGTTTGTGGCAGAGTGAAATTACCACACTTGTTCTGTTGTGGCGGGATTCGGCAAGAGGCAGCGCAGTAGAGGGAGAGGATGATGAAATGAGGGAGTAAATGTGCACTTTTCATTGCTGAACCAGCACTTTGAGTGAACCATTAGGCATTAGCAAACAGTTCAAAGTCTGATTTTTTAAAAAATATTAAAACTACACTTTTTCTTTGAAGATTTGTCAATGGTGTTGTGTTCAAATGGTTTGTTCAAATGGTTTGTTTATTAAAACTACACTTTTTCTTTGAATATTAAAACTACACTTTTATAATTGGGTCTCGGACTCTGGGTTGGCCCAATAACTTATCACTTCATTTTTTAAAAATTTCAGGTTCCTTCGGGCTCATACTACTTCTTGTTCGGGTCAATGCGGGTTTAAGTATAGAACTATATTATGTTCATCACCATTATCATTCGGTTTGGGTCGACCCAACGGGTTATGACTTTGATTTTAAACAAATTTTAAGTTCATATTAACACTTGCATTTTTCTTTAAGTAAAATTAAAATATCAAAAAAAATGTACTATATCTATTATATTATTTTATTTTAAATTATGAAATGATTTTACCTCTTAGATCTATATAATTTGAAGCTCCAAACAATTGAAATACAATCTAAGACGAATATTTAGGCTCGAGCTTCTCGATGCTGTTATATAACCACTACCTTCATCGCTCACATCCGCCATGTCAAACTTTGAACAAAACAAATCAATCACCCAAGACCAAAAACATTATATATACATATAATGTATTTGTAGACTAAAACATTTTATTGTGGAACAGTCTCACTAGGATCAATTAGACGTTTTTGATGATCTTAGCCAAAAGGTCAAGAAACGTAGTAGAAAATTTATTTTTTAGTAGATGAGTTCCACCACGTTAAAATTTAAACACAACACAATAACGAAAAATATTACATATATACTTGGCTGGAGAGTCAATTTGACAATATTTACCTTGGTAAGAGATTTTCCTATTTATTAACCTCTTTCATGTCCTAT